ATGATTCTTATGACACAACCAGGGAGCAACTGTCCATTTTAAATTTCTTCATTAAAGCAACATTCTGATTTTTACTATCAGTACAGCCATTCTACTTACTATCTAAATTGCACCGTCACAAATCCATGCCTTTAATTATCCCATCCTCAATACCAACTTCTCTACAGTGATGCTGGATATTTTTTAAATTGAGCTTCACTCAGGTTTCAAAGAGCCTTCCACGGCTTCCAACTCTGGATTGTCGCTTCCTCAGCAATCCCCGGTATTCAGTTCACATGTCCCTGGCAAAAATCCAGGAGCAGAGGCCAGTGGCTGGCTCTACCTGACTGACATCGGAGAGATCAGACTTCAAGAACCAGCATTCCCATTTCATTCACCAGAATACAGGATGGAAACTGCGAGGTTTAAATGCAAAGCACATCACAGTTTCCCTGTGTCCAAACATCTCCCTGATAACCGGTCTTGTCAGCACACAACTGTTGCCATCAGGGTTTTGTTATTTTTCCCCACACATATTTTTATAGTAAGTTAACTTGCTGACAGAGACTTCTCTGCATTAGAGCAGCCAGATTCCAGATAATAAGTCAGATTTACTATGTCCTAAAATACAACCATGATGTAATAAGGGAAAAGTACATAATTTAGTAGAGTGGCTTGAGTGCCATTTTTGGTAGAAAGGCAGAGAACACATCAAAAAGTAAATAATTCACTTGCTGGAAAATAGCACTGGTAGAGCATGACTATAAGAGGGCACAACTCTTTTGTAATATATTTTATATCTAAGTATGTATCTATATGAATATGTGTGTGTGTAGCCTCTTTATTCCAAAAATAATTAGACACATTTATTTATTTATTTAATTTTTATACCCCCCAGTAACTGAGGCTCCCTGAACAGTTAACAAAAGTTAAAATTAAACAAAAGCTTAAAAATACAAACAAAAATTAATTTAAAATAATAAAACCATAATAGCAATTGAATCTGAATCAGCATAGAGGCCTAGCAGTCTTTACTTAGTGCTGAAAAGAATGTGAATATGCCAGGTTCACCTCTTTGGGGAGCTCATTCCACAACTACGGGGACATGACTCCTGGTAGTCAGCCATCGCACTTCCTTTGGAAGGGAATCCCAAACAAAGGACCCTGAAAGATGGCCTCCAGGTAGGTGTTCCGGGTAGGTATATGTGGGAAGAAGTTATCCTTCAACCTGGCCCCACAGGATCACTGTGAAGTTAGCTGCAAGGGTCCTTTCTGCTTTCCTATACTAATAAACAGATATAAACGACAGGTTTAGAAAATTCACTTGCTAATTTACCTTCTAGATAGCTTCCGCAAATAACTACATGTACAGTCCTATGCATGTTTGGTCCAAGACAAGTCCTACAACTTTCAGCGTATTTGTGTTATAGGACTTTTTTTCTGTCCAGACTGATAGGATCGTGTCCCAAACCAGAAAATATCTTAGCAGAACACCGAACATTCAAGCACAGAGGTAGTCTCAAATGGTACAAGACAAAAATAGCTGTCTAGCAAAAACAACTTGCTATCTTATTTTTCGCCATGAAAAATATTCTTCTGCTTTTACCAGCTTTCATAGCTTTGTTGTCTAACAAGAAAGCCTTAGAGTTCAACAGTGTATCACAGCAGTAAGTGCTACCCTGATTCTAGGCATCTTGCATCTTGTATCTTATTTTACTATTGATTGTTATATTTATTAGGTATTTATCATATTGTAAGCCATCCAGAGGTGAATGGTATAGGACGGGATAAAAATATCCTAATAAAATTGAATTCTGGTGCTGGAGAAGACTCCTGCGAGTCCCTTGGACTGCAAGGCGATCAAACCGGTCAGTCCTAGAGGAGATCAACTCTGACTGCTCTTTAGAAGGCCAGATACTGAAGATGAAACTCAAATACTTTGGCCACCTAAGGAGAAGGAAGGACTCCCTGGAGAAGAGCCTAATGCTGGGAACAATAGATGGCAAAAGAAGAAGGGGACAGCAGAGAATGAGGTGGCTGGTTGGAGTCACTGAAGCAGTTGGTGTGAGCTTAGGTGGACTCCGGGGGATGGTGGAGGACAGGAAGGCCTGGAGGAGTGTTGTCCATGGGGTCGCGATGGGTCGGACATGACTTCACGACTAACTACAACAAATAAAATAATAAAATAAGTAAAAATATCTGGAACAAGGCCAAACTAGAACAAAGCTATTAGCACAGGTTATATTGCAAGACATGAATGTCACTTTTTAAAAAATACTGTGTTACACATTATGTTATTTTTTATCTGCTACACATTTATTGCATGTATGTGCACATACATACTCTTTCACATTTTTGATTAATTGGAACATATTGTTTGTTTTGTAAAAAAGAAAAAAAAGATTTTTGCTGGAAGTAGAGATGACATTCCGCAGTTGGTGGCTGTCTATGGAATTCTGAGAGGAACTCACTTCTAAGTGTCTTATGCCAATCTTTTAATTCATGCTAAACATTCTTAAAATTGCTTGTGTGCCAAAATGGCACGGATAAATATAAGTTAATTTTGCCACATGAAAGAAGAGCACAACAAATAGAACTCTTTATTATATCTACCTACTATAAATTGTATCACCCTACATTTTTATTGCATAAACATGCTAGACCAAGTGGAGTAGTGCTGTGCCGAAAAGCATCCCACTTGTTTGGAGAAAAATCGTTTTTGAAAAGAAATCTAATGTTAAAAAAATCAGGGCAATTCTCATGGGTTGGGGATAGAAACAGAGAAAGATAAAAACAGAGTGAGCCAGAAGGGGTTCCCTGGGCCCTCTAGTCTGACCCTTGGCTCCAGCCAGCTCCACTCATGCCATGCCTGGCATGTGCATGGGTTTGGGCTCCTTGCACTGACCTTACTTAGGAAGTCACTGGAGAGGAAGCACAGGCATCCTGTTGTCATTGCACACACACCTCTCCAGGGTCCAGTAGCCTCGCTGGCTTCCCACCCTTCAGTTAAAGCCCAGGGAAGAAAGACATCATGAGACCAGTCCTCCCACTGGGGTCTTTCAAATCAGGAACAGCCAGCAGTGCTCCCCAGTAGACCCACATGGTTGCTGCTGCAGTATAATTGCGAGTCCAGGACTGGTTGAGAAGTCATTTGTGTGACGCTTGTTGCACTGCCAATTGCCTTGTACCACATCCAGCTGGGAGGGTTCACAGCAACACTCTTTTTCTGCCTCACAAATGCTGGAGCTCAAGCATCCTTTTGTCTAAAGGAAGTGATACTGCAGCAGTATCCCTAAAATATATATAGTCAACAAGTTATGAAACAAATACTCAAGCCAACGTTCCTCATTTAGCACAAATACAACCCTACCACCACCTACTTGCAGCTACGCTGTGATGAAACCAATAGGATTGTTTTACTGTGAAGCTGCCCGTCCAGTTATTAAAGGCTTCAGCGGTCCATTTGTGGAAAGACTTTCTCCTGTGCTGCTTCCAAATGGTGCAACACATTCCCTCAAAAACGATGACTGAGCCCTACTTTGTCTTTGGAGAGGAGGTGAACATACATTACCATCATCAACCCTTTTAAATTGCACTGATATTACAATGTTTTACTGCTTACTGATTTTTTTCTGGGATTAAAGTTTTATTGTTTAAGTTGTTGCACACTGCCTTGTGGCTTTTTAGCAAATAAAAAATGGTGTAGAAATGCCAACAATACATAAGTGATAATCACAGCAATAGATTAGCTTCCCGAGCTGTTCCCCAGCTTTAAATTGGCTGTTAGACTCTTCGATCTATAATTACGCAGATGTAGATTTAAACTTTTAAATGCAAACTGGTGGATCATGGAGAGCAGCAGCTAATTGGTTCTACCTCAAGCCATCATTTTGCATCTGGCTCTACCCCCAGGGTGTGGTTTTCACCTGGTTCTGCTTGGTGGATCTAATGCTTTTTTTTTTGGAAAAAAAGCAACCACAGAGATTCCAGGAGCCTGAGATCGGCCAGTTACTGCACGCCTTTTGCTCAGTCACCGGCACATGTGAACTTCCATGCATGTACCACGGTGAAGGCACTGGAAGTGTTCTCCCCAGCAGTACTTGTGTACACATAGCAGATTGTGTGAATCACAGTGGGTGAAATAGCTGCTTGAGGAAAATTAACAGAAAGACACAATTAACAACAATTCAATTTTTTATTTTACCACAAGCATTTTACAGAAGAGAAGAACGTTAACTCAAGACACCAACCCTTTAACCCATGGGAGAACACACTAGTTCCAATAGCTATTTTCCTGTTGGGTAGCAGATTCCACCAGGGAAACATAAAACTTCAGAGCAGATATAAGTTGCAGAGCTTCCCCAAATTTAAGTAACCAGCATAAAATGGGAAATTTGCAATATTATAGCTTAAGAAAAACACCTTTCAAAATTGCTGAAAGGCATGCAATATCCTTGCATTAAGCTTGGCTTGTTGACATAATTTGCTAATTAAAATATATTTTCAGTGGGTGCAATTCATTGAAAATATATGCTGTTGAAACTTTATTGGAATAAACAGGTATTATCCAGGAGCTTTTTTTTTTGCTTCATCAGAATTATATTCATAATGCTGTTTTCATAGAATCTCAATTATGTCATGGAAAATAATGTCTTTGAGTAAATTGAAGTATTTTAGTCATTACGGTGGGTAGTAAAAAGGAAACATTATGGCTGTCATTAATTTTAACTTGATTAATGTTTGCAAAGTAGTAATATCAATTGTAACAGAAAGTACATAAGTACATTTCACTGCAGGTTCCAGAGCACTGGAGACTATGTGGATCCATTGCAGGGTTTGCTGCCCAAGAATATACTGTGACAGAAGCGTTCTGTTCCTCTGTTCTCTACTTCAGGGTAGTTCAGGTGTTACACCGTTTTGCTTTCGCATAAAACAATGCAGACAGAAGAAAAAACAAAGCCACCAAGATTGTTGAAAGAACAAATAACCACGATTTTCTCCCTATTTGGCATCACACTTAGCTCTTTGATCTTTTCTTTCTGAGAATTCAAATATTTGCCAAGAAAGAGCAACTGTTGCTGAAACACTGAAGTCCTATTTGTTCCACCTGAGAGATGACAATGCATGATTGTCTTTACACAACAGCCAAGAGGCAACATCAAAACGTTAACAACTCAACTCACATGTACGTATTTATTTTTACTAGCTACTTTGGTGTGAAAACTGGATAGAATTTTATTTCTTCTTCCGATTGATTAAAGAACAAATACCATTGTTCTATAAGTATAACGACGATTCCAAGTAGCAATAGTTGTTTGTGATGCTTGATATCTGAGTAGTACACATCCATCATCTTGGTATTCATTTACTAGTTATTTTTTCTAGCATGGAAAATTTGAAATTTATTTGAAGCAGTTATGTGTTGGTGACCAGACTTCCATGTCAAGTAGAAATTTCTGGGTTGTTTAATCAGAAAATTGCAGGGATAGGCAAGGAATTCATAATTTCTGTCTTTAATTAACAATTATTAGGTGTCTGGTATTGGAAAACTACATTCCCAGGCTTCTTTTTGCAGGTATTAAAAAGTGTATACTAAATGAGTGAAAAAAGTAAGAGTCCTAGCTGCGTATTTGCAGAAATATTGGTAAACTTTCTATTTATATACCTTTTGATACATTTTATTAGCTCATTATGAGTATTACAGTTTTACAAGAAGTTCCTGTTTTATGGAAAAACTGTTTTTTGCTTGTCCATGAAGAGAGCTCTCATAACCAATGCCAGATTTCTTGGAAAGAATAATAAGTATATTTTTCTAAGGTTTTAGAAAATTTAGAAAAACCTACCATGCTAAACTAACAACTAAAAAGAAGCAAACAAACATCCATCAAATAAACAATCCTATTGGATAAATGATTTCATACTAATCAAGCCACACTTTGGCGGAGCAAATTGTGCCATGGATATTTTTGTGTGGATCTTGTATTTGCTCATAGCTAGATCAGATCATGCTGGTCTCATCACTGTATATTTCTGGTAAATATTGTCCCTGCAATAGCGAAGTCCTTGAAGGGTGTACAAGATCAATCTTTTCTTTGATCAAAAAATGGCCATGCTTGCTGTTCTCCATAATTAAGGCAAGTGGGTGGTATGGAAGGCTCTGGGGAACAATATTGCAATATTGTTGCATTAATTTATTGTTGCAATAAATGCAGTAATACAAATGAGGTCAAGCATTAGGTGCTTCACAATAATTGTGACATTTTTCAAATCCTCCTGGAAAGTCCTCTAAATTAAATAAAAATGGTCCTCTTCAGCCTTGATGGTACCAGGCTCTTATTACTCTGGATTTCTTCCTTGAGATATTCTGCAACCCTAATGTTTTGAATCTAGACTCACTGCATACGTTTCCGCAACAGCAGGCAGGGCCATGCCTCCAGTCAGAATACTTGGAGTTAATCTCCACATAACATAGTGTGCTCACAGATCAACTCAGACCATGTTCTATTGATCTTTGCCGGGGGTTATATAAAAACATATTTTTACAAACTCTCATTGCCTTTCACAGATGGTAGAGGGCTAGATTAATGCAGTTTTTGAGAGATGTAGCCATTCTCAGGCCGCTTCCATATGTTCTGGGACTGCTCTGTAATCTTTTTCTTCTGTTCTTACATTGTCCATATAATCAGTATTGTGTTGGATAAATCCCTGAAAATCTCTCCTCAGGTTTACAGGCAGTATTTTGTGTACAGAAGAAAGCCACCTTATCACAAAAATGTCAGTTTCATAGGACAAACTGGATTTAAAACAACCTAGTCTTCAAAGCTTCAATCATATGTTCAGTCTGTACTCACTGGTGATAACAATCTGAGGTGATGAATGCCTGAAAGTAGGAATTTAATAACAAAGCTGTTGTTATTGTTGTTGTTGTTGCCATCATCATCATCATCATCACAATTCTATCCACTTTTTTCTTCCTGCAAGGAACCCAAGGTAGCTTGCAAGGTTCTCCCTTTCTCCATTTTCTCCTCACAGCAACAACCCTGTGGAGTAGGTTTGGCTGAGAGTGAATAATTGACGCAAGGACCCCCAGTAAGCTTCATGGCCAAGTGTGGACATTAACCCAGATCTTCTATGTCCTCAGTCCAGCACTCTAACCACCGCTCCTGTTGTATGGCACTCTCAGTTTTCTCAGTTTTCTTCTAGGGAACTTTCTGGTTTGATTTGATCTGGGGCCCACTTGGTCGTCTTTCTTTTGGTCCTGAGTAAAGCTTTCCTCAAGCACCATGCTTTGAATGAATTTCCTTCCTGTCAGCTGTCTTCACTGTCCAGCTGTGCCACCCGTTCATGGTGATTGGGAAGACAATTGGCCTTGGCCTCCAGTGAAACATCCTCAGTCTTGATGATCTTTTCTAGTGCCTTCACGACTGCAATTTCAAATCTCAGTCCACTTCAAATTTCTTGGCTACAGTTCCCATTTGAGTCAATGACTGAGCCAAGATATGTAAAATATTTCACAATTTCACAATTTCCTTATTAACAGTGAAGTTCTGTAATTCTTGTATAATAGTCATCATTTTTGTTTTCTTAATATGCAGCTGCAGTCCTGCTTTTGCACTTTCACGAGGAGCCATTTTAGTTCACTGCTGCTTTCTGTCAGTAGAGTGTGCTCTCACCTGCATATCTTAAATTATCCATGTTTCTTCCACCAATTTTCACTGATTCTAATCCAGTTTTTTATTGATATGTACAGATAGGAAGATGAAATATGCTCTTGTTTGGTGACTGTGTCTTTGGGAAACCATATTTTTCTCCATATTCTGTCCTGTTCTGTTTAGGCAGAAAAAGTCTTGTAATGCCCGGTATTCTCCTGGTATCATGCATAGAATTCATCCCAAAATAACTTGTGTTCCACAACGCTGGTCATAAAATTGATTGGGGACAGTGACTCATACCTTGATGCCAAACATCATCCAGGATGTGGCATTAGATGTAAATTGTCTTAAGCCAGACAGAACCATGGCCAAAGGGCTCTCAACCCCCTCTCCCCCTGAAATGAGTTGCCGATGGAAACAAAGAGATAAATATGTAAGAGGAAAATTGCCTACAAATATTAAACAAGCATTGTTATACAGCCATAACTTAACTGTAGTCTTGATAACCTTCAAATTTATGTACAACTTCAGGAAGAAAGTCAGAGAAATTGCTGGTTCAGGAGATGTGGCACCAGTCCCTTTCACAAGGAGGCATTGATTATCTTCCTGGCCCAGCTGAATATTGCCCCCCTCTTAGTTTTTCTGAGCCAAGATGGGTGTGGATCCAGTGTAAACTTGACGAGCACCTTGTCGGCATCTTTGAACTGTACCAAGTGAAACTCATCCAAGAAAACAGGACCAGGCAATGCTCGGACGTCTCAGTGCAGGAGGCAGGGAGCTTAGTATCCATGAGCCCACCTAGACTCATGGAGAGCATCTGGACCAACAAATTCTTCCTGAAATGAGGAGGGTGAGTCATAATACCTCCAGAGGCTGTGGCTGCAAACTTGAAGACAGTCAACTGGAACCCCCTGGGCAGTATCCAGTGGAGACTGTCTGTAAGATCCAGGGCACTGGCTTAACAGTCCAGAGTCAACAGCTGGTGAGATGATGGGTTCAAGCAATCTTCTTCCACATCCTGTACAGCAGCCTTTGTGCTGCACAAGATGCCACACAGGACATGGTTGTGAACTGCTCTCTCATCTTGGCTCACCTTCTCAGAAAGGAACGAGCAAGAGAGAAAGTCTGAAAATGCTAGAGGGACAGATTCAGTGGAGCTTTGTCGCAATCCTAGACCTCAGTGATGTTGATCATTTTCAAGCCAGTCATGGGTGTGGAACATTGTGTATCCAAAAATGTGCATATACAGGAGTACATGTGCGTTGTACACACCATCACACTGGTTGTAGAGTCACACAGTGTCCGGAAACAAATGCAAGAAATCAGCCTTACCCACCTCAGAGCTCACCAGCTGCCTCTCGTCACTCAGATGCAGAGACTTGAGCATTACATTGTAGAGCCAGAAGAACACCCATAAATATAAACTCTTCTTTCTCTTCCCCACCCTCCCCTGCTTCTTCCTGCATTTCAAAAGCTTGCATATGAATTGTATTTGCATGATTAACAGCATGTCAGGTTTGGACCTGAGACATCGCTGATGATGAGTACCAGTTTTAAAGCTTCTTAATGTTTGAGAACAGTTTTCCAAAGTGCTTCTTGCTCCCTTCCTCACACGCAGATGCCAAAGGGGGGGAAAAACCCTGTGCCTTGGAGCATTTTTCTAAAGTTGATTGAATTACAGAATGCAAAATTGCAATTTATGTTTAGGGTAACCAATTTGTCACAATCATGTACAATTCAAGCTGTCATGCCTATACAGGATAGGGAAGGAAAGTCATAATTCCCGCATAAAGCAGTCCTGTGAATGCAAATTGTTCTTTGAAATTTGGCAGTAAAAATAAGTGCTTATACTATTTGGTAGACTTGGAGGGGGGCCACTTGGTTGAGAATATTGTTCCCTCTTTAGAGGTGCAGTGAAATAAGTCTTGTCTCAAATGTTCAAACACAAAAGTTTGAGTGGCAATAGGAACATATTGAGGGCAGTATACAATGAAGCATTAGATGATTTTGCACCTACTGATTCAGTTGTGCAAGCAGTCCCCATTGCTTGTGTAGTAATGATTCCGTGTTTCCTGCAGCAACTTGTGCTCCTCAATGGCACCTTCTTAAACTTACACAAGCAGGATCCCATTGATTATGTGGCAGAGATTTAGCATGTCTTAGTGAAATCTGCAAAACAAGTGAATATGCTTGTCTCTGGACTGGGACAGATCACTTCTCTGATCTTCACTGACCTGCCCCATTCCAGAAATGAGCATTACTACTTAGCATAGAATGACAGAAGAGTAGAGGTAGAGGGGGTCCAACCCCCTGCTGTTGCAGGTCACCAGTTTATACCATCCCACTGAGAGGATGGTCCAGTTTCTTTTTGAATGCCTCCAGTGCGGGAGAGCCCACCACCTCTCCAGGCAGCTGTTTCCACTGTTGTATTGCTCTGACCATGAGGAAGCTTTTCCTGATGTCTTCCCTGAAGTTTGATGGTAATATTTCTGATTAATAGTCCATTTTAATTCAAGGTTTCAATTTTAAACAC